GATTCCTGATCTTCCCGATAGTACATTTGAGGCGGCTGCGGGTCGCCATGGTTTTATCGATTACGAGGACTGCTTGACAGCCGACCATCGCCGTCACGGGGGGTGCGGGAGGCTGCAGCCCATTGTGCCTCAACAGCAGACGCCCTGCAGGATAGTCGAGTGCTTCGTGACCTCAAGATTGGATGCACCGCTGTATCAAGCGGCGATCCCCTGGGTTTGCTCAGCCACCATCTACATCTACACTTCAACGGCTGTTGTGCATGGGTGCAGTGAGATGTCATGGCCGGTGCCGAAAGCACCAGGGGCTACGCGCGCAAAATGTGGTAGGACGAGTAGAATGTAAGCGGAAATCCTGGTCTGGCAATTTGCATTAGAGACGCGTCAGATGATAGTCCCGGCGAAGAAGTCGAGGGAGTGCGCCCGGAGTCTCATCTTAGCCCTGCAGCAAGCCTGATGGCCTGCCTCGTTCGCTAGTAGAGGCTGATGGCGTGGCAGTGATTGGATCAGCGTGGCAGTGAAGTATCCATTGAGAGGTAAGTACTGTATTGCGAAGAGACGAGTGCTCGTGATGCGTCAGCCCTAGGCGCTCCGTGGTCGACCGCAACGTGCGCGACACATGGAGACAGCGAGGTTTGGGACTGGCATGTCACCATGGTCGTGTGAACGATCGCTGAAGCCAGCAGAAAAACCACGAAGACGACGATATTGGCGCAGTGCTGGGTGCGCGATATCGCGATGGCAGGGACTTGGGAGGTTTGGGGGCGTGCCAGCTTCACGGAGGGAGCGGCCAAGACACGCTAGAGCCCAAAGCGGAAAGGTGAGGATACAAGCGGAGGAGGAATACCCGGGAGAAGCTGCACGTCACCGGGCGCTCCTTCCCAACCCCCTGCCACGCCCATCCCTCCTTCCTCCGTGGGCCATCTATCACGTATCGCCTCATCTTCCATCTGTACAAGGGAGGCACCGCGGGCCCGCCGCTTCTCGCTTTCCTCACCGTTCGTCGCCTAACCTGAGACCCTGGACTCGAAATGCCGCTCGCCGCGCCCATATCGTCGCTTGACAGCAGCCGCCGAGCAAAGGCGACCTCCTGCGGCCCACGCCGTCCATGACTGGCTGTGCCCTCTTTCGGAGCGTTGCGCATCTACCGTTGTGTCGGGTCACAGTATGCTTGGGGCAGATGAAAGCCCGGATCATGGCGCTGATAGTGCTCTAACCCAAACCTCGAGGCGATGCAACATCTGCGCATCACTCGCTGGCAGTGGCGCCTGTATGTGGATGCTTTCCCTCGTCCACCTCAGTCACGTCAAACCGTTCCCCCGCGGGGCCAAGTAGTGCCGTCGCTTTCGTCTCTGTGACAGGTAACGGCTTCGAGCCCAACCCTCTTGTCCTCTAGTTCCCTCTTTCACTGTCCATCTGCGGGACGACCTGTCGTCTGCCAACGGTTGTCGGCCCGTGGCGCTGCTAGCTACGCCTGGTCTTGGCCCGTTCGCCATCTGCCGCTGACTGGACGCCGCCCGTGACTGATAGTCTAATCTAGCACAGCCGTAGCAAGAGCAAACCATGATCATCTGTTCGCTTCAAGGGTTATTCCGGGCGGCTGATCGAGATGAAACATCGACGACCCGCCAGTCCGGTCACTTAGCTGCCGTGTCGAGTCGGCCCCCATTTCGAGAGTGGTGTTGTGGTCCATGTTCCTGCGTTGCTGCACGGGACTGTGATGTCTTTGCCGGGCGCGCCAATCGATGTGTGGCATGGGGGTGGGCCCTGGCCCCGCGAGGTAGCAAAAGCCCATTCTTCCGTGCAAGGAATGCGAAGCTCAGCGACTATTCGAAAGACGTAATCCTGGGCACCAAGGCAAATCACTTCTCCCTGACATCGGAGATATACAGGCTCCCCATTTGGGAAAGGCTCGCCGCTGCAGCTTGCCAATGCTACCGTGGTGCTAGAAAATGGCCAGGTCTGAGCAATACGGATCATATGCATTGGGGCTGAATCTTGATCCAGCATGCTAAGCATGCTTCGAAGCTATTCTCACTTGGTAGGCATTCTCCTTTGAGCCAACAAGTCCGTCACCACCCTAGTCCGTCTCTACTCTGTATCGAGCTGTAGCGCTTCTTGCCTGTCAACTGTACTTCAACCATCCACTTTCTGCAAGCTCACTCCCATTCGACAGCCGCTCGTATCCTTGGGCCCTCCCACTTCTTCCATTGCTTGCCGTTAGTCCCTTCCCTGGACCCACTATTCCCAACAGTCTACTCCAGGTCATTGTTCTGAGACCATAAGCCGGTACCCTACCAGCCTCGAAGATCACGGGGGTTTTGAACCCTGGCAACCTTGTGCAACGGTCTGAGAGCAAGAGTTCAAATTTTAATAGAGGGCACGGTGCATATATGCTTCGGCCCCTTCACCATACGGACCCTTGGTATACCGAACCTGGCTCACATCTGTCACAATACGTCAACGGCACTATCACTGTCGATTCTGGTCTCTGTCACAACATCTCATTGCAGTGCATGCAGTAAATCTGTTCCTGTTGAGCAATTCCTCCAACCTGGCGTGCGTGCAAATCGCCCAGTGTCCGACAACGGGTCAGCATCCTCGTCGAAGCCGCCACGATTGAACATCAGTCGACGCCACATCATTTGATTTGGAAGACTGCAGCAGAACCCTGTAAGCTCCACCCCCGTTGCGACCACTTCCTCGGTTGATATTGCGAGACTGACAGATCGCAGGAAAGCGACGTCAGAGACGCGCCCACACCGCCTACGTCGCAGCTAGATATCCAGGCACCTAGCGACAAGGCCGCTATCCGTACCTGTCTGTGCTCGGGATTCCAGCTTCCAGATCTGCGTAGAGTGCGCGGGAAGAAGCAAAGCGCAGCTGCGGGCCTCCTCGCTCTGCGTAGACGAGCCGTTATAACTCCAGGGTTTAAGGTAATGCGCAGCCGCCGTGGGTGACATCAACGCACACTGCATCGCACCTTCTTCGACCCCAAAACTGTCAGTCCACCCACCAACCTTCTGTCCCTGCCATGACAGGCCCATTGACTAAGCTTTGCGGTAGATCTGAGCGCTGAAGAACCGATTGACCAGAGTGCAGCGCGCGCACCACCGAGCCACAGTGCTGGACAATATACGCATTGCACCGTCTGCTCGCAATAGCCGCATCTCCCCTCGAACATCAGCATTAACGGAGCCTAGCCCCCAGCGAAGCGCAGCGCAGCGGCAGCTAATCGAGGATCCCGCCCTTGTGCCGGCTAAACCCCCCCAGATTGCCTCTCAAGCGAACCAACAGCGTAATTAGACGAGTCGTCGGTCTTCACCACCATCCCCTTTCAGCATCCTTTGACGCTTGGCCCGGCACCCCGAAGCCTAGCATCGCAACCGCCACGCGAAACGCTGACTCGCTGCCTCGCCTGATCGAATCCGCGTCTCGAGCGACGGCGCGAAGCAGTTCGGCCGCAGCGGAACTCTGTCAGCAGCAAATCCTTTCGCCACTGCCGGCGCCATCGAAGTCGACCCAGACTGTCGGAACTGCTGCGTAGAGTGGTAGAGTCAGGCGTAAGATCCAGTCTCTCGCAAGGGTTGTTGTGTCTCTACAAGGCGCTGCGATAGATCTCAGCAGAACGGCGATACATCACTGGCTGTTGCAATGATGAATCAAGGTAAGCCAAATCCCCAAGTATTTGCAACCCATGTCCTGCGCAATACACAACCCCCCAAACCCCCAAGTCGCTCGCCCCAAGCGCTGCACATCCAGCCATAAGCTGGCGCCCTTCTCCGCATTCTTCCCAGGCCAACATTCCTCCCGCGTGCGCTCTTATATTGCACCACAACACAGTTGGTGCATCGGCCTTCTCCCCTCTGTTCACTGCACCACACTGTGGGCCTGCATTTGTTCCTGTTCCTGTAGTGCGTTCCGCACGCTTGTCCTGCCACCCGATCGCGGTGCCGCTTGTGCTACCACGTCCCACGCGCATCTTTCTCTCCTCTCCATTGCGCATCCGTGCACGTTGTCCGTTATTGTCACACGTCTTGTTCAACAGCACACCGGCTGCCCTGGATTGATTGGCTGACGTGCAGGATAAGCAGTGCTGCAATCACCGCTGCCATTGGCATCGGAGAACCCTTTCTCTTCGGACCAGGAATGCATCGAGCATATTGGTGCGCATGCACATCATAACTCCTACGCAGCCGTACCCGATCAGCTAAGACGCGACGGGGTCCTAGCACATACTGCGACCGGTATCCACCAGGGCTCGATTACAGGCCGTTACGGTACACATCGTCCCGACAGTGCGTAAGTAGATGCTCTCATTGGTCGTTTCCTTCCCGGGCTGGCATGGCAGGCTCCGTGGTGCTGCCTAGCCTTGTGGCCCCCAGCCTGCATCCCTCGACGCCTCTATGGCGTGGTGCAGCCCAGGCTCAGGCTTCTCCTACCCCAAAACAAACACGTAGTCAATGTCCTCCATCATACTTGTCGTCGCACACGCTCCGGATGCATGGCGCACTTGGTCTTCCCAACAGGCTGGTCTGTCACATTGATCACACGACAAGCCTAGCGGTAATGCCGTACCGCCCCTGGTCTGGTTGACGACTTATACCGTGCCACCCTACTCTTGGTTACACATCGTTGTCGTTGGCATCACTTTGGCCGGATAGCTCTGTTTTGCGAGTTTGACTGACTTGATTCTATAGCTACCAGTCGAGCGTGGCTCTTTCAGACTCAGGGTCTGGTTCCATATCGACCTCGCCAAGCTCCAACGCCTCATCAGCACTGGCATACTCATCGTACACTACGTTCTCTCCGACGGTTTCAAACACTTACCCAAGTCACTATTCCGTACCAAACAATTACTTTAGCACTACGTGTGGTTACGGCAGCATGTCTTCGAGTCGACGATTGTAGGTTTTCTTTGTGGCGCACTCGTGCGTGTAGAACCCGAAGCGATGCATGACAGCTGACAGCTACGCGATAGAAACGATCCCTCTTCGTCGGCAATGTTACCTCCGGCGAGATCACCAGGACTAGGCCATTCTGTGTCACCATCCATGGGTTCGTCGGCAAGGGACAATTATACGACAGGGACGCCTGGCGTGCATAGATATCCCAACGCCTTGTCCCCTCGAGCTGACCTTTCCCGGTACAATTCCCAACCTGACACTCCTAGGAGTGTGCTTGCCACCACCATGCCGTTGACCTACAACGGTGCTTACCACGCGAGCACCTATGCGACGCCCTCAGGCTCACCCGAGACGCCGCCTTTCAACGCACAGGAGACATGGGGCAACATCACTTGCGAAGGCTCGACAGTGACACCCAATATCGACGCCAAGATCGAGAAGGGCTTCTTCTACTCCGGTGATCGAGTATGGACATGCTACCGCAGGAACTATTTCGCTGTCAACGTGTCGTTCCAGCTTACGCCCTGGATCGCAAACGCCCGTATGTACCTCGAGCAGACAGGCAAACCACCGGAGCAAATACAGTCCATGGCAGTATCTCTTGCAGCGGCTGTGGACGGCTCCACAGGCAAGACTATCGAGCTGATCCAGCACACACCTAAGCGTGACAAAGGCCCGCAGCTCGCGATGAAGAAGGAACTACTGGCCCCAACACCACCGGGAAAGAGCCATGAGCATGGTGGATATGGGCTGAGTAACTTTCACCAAACCTCAACCGTGCCGGGTCCTCAGCTACCATTGCAGAGCGAAAGCGACTCGTCGCAACAATATTCCCCAGCGAGCCATGCCAGTAGCAACTACCAGCATTCATTCGAACGCATCCAGTTCAAGTCGGCAACGGCGAATAATGGCAAGCGTCGCGCTCAACAACAGTACTACCATCTGATTGTCGAGTTGTGGGCGAACGTGCAAACTCCACGAGAATCCGAGCCCCGTTGGGTCAAGATCGCAGCCCGGCTGTCGTCTCCCGTCGTTGTCCGTGGCAGGTCACCTAGCCATTACCAGAACGAGGGTCCACACAATGCTGGTACCCCAAGAGGCGCGCCTGGGTCTGGCCTCGGTGGAGGCGGTCATCATGGGCTGGGATCAAGTGGCCAACCTTCCTATCCGGCCTGGAGGAACGGTATGTCGGGCGGTGGTGCGACTGGAATGGGCGGCAGCATGTATCGTGGTAACACGTACTCGCTAGACCCAAGTCCCGTCGGCAGTCATTCGGTCAGCTCAGCAAGTTCTCTGAGTGGAGGTCCGGTCGAAGGCGTTAGCGGCGAACAGCACATGGTCGAAGACGACGATGCGAAGATGATGGATGCCCCTCAGGACTATTCTTATTATCCTGCGTCCATCTACGAGACTATCCCTACTAAGCTTGAAAGTACTCTACCGCCACCCGATCGCAGGATCAAGGATGAGTATCCAACTGCTGGCTGGCACATCGGAGGCTGTGGAAGATTCCAAGGCATGGAGAGCAGTCGCGGATACTATCCCGACGTACAAGCACATACTTATTGACAAGCATCCACTAGACTGCTGTCATAGCTTGCATGAACCATGTTGGCCGGCTCAACATGGACTGAGGCTCGCTCCCTTCTCGAACGAAATTCCGCCTCACTGCACTTCGTACAGGCAGTTGGGAAGCTCTTACCAACGACGGCTATTTTTGGGTGCTTCGCGATGACATCTCGGTTTTGCGGCGGCCTTGTTATTGTTACTGTACTTGATCCTTTGCCAACACGAACACCGACGAGCCCTTACACCAGCACCACTCCCCAAACGAACGACGCCCAAAACACCGCAGCTCAGACAAGGTCAGAACGGCACACGAAGAGGTGTATCATACATGGCGCAAGAAAGGCTACATCGCAGGCTTCGAGCATGTTGGCGACGGTACAACGTTCAGTGTTGGCCCGATTCCAGAGAACATGTGTACAATGCCCGTTCCTTGGGATTTGAGCCGAAAGCACATGACCTCCCTTGTTTCTGCTGGCATATGATGCCTCAACTGCTGGTCAGGTTGACCTTGGTACATGTCTTGGTGTGTCATCACAAAGCATATTTAATTCTGCCCCCTTCTGGCGGTACCTCCGGTGTCATTGCCTGTATGACCTGGAGGGACCAGCTTCTTTACACGTCGTTCCCATGCTGTTATGTCTTTCTCTGTTTCACTTCTGTTTTATGATGGTGTTCTTTACGCATTACGAGACGTGCAGATGGTGCAGGGTGAGGGCACATTCTACGAGTTATGAGTACGAATGCTTCTTGCATGGTGCATGGCGCATGGAGGTAAAAAAAGGTCGACGGTCGCATCCATCTCTTTCGTGCTGCCTCTGTATGGCGCTCTCTGACTTATGCGCCCCAGCATCTGTCCTTGCGAGCTTGGCAGCAACGGCAAATCATGGTTGTATGAGTAATGGGTCACGGCCATGGAAAGCCTTGGAGGCTTTGGATCCGCAGGATCGAGGACGCACACAAGGAAAATGCAACATCTGCTAGGACGTAGGATCCTATAGGGTTGCGTAGCCACTGTAAGGCACGGTTACGAAGGGACGGGAGATGTACGGCGCACGAGCAAGCTAATGACGGCGGCCCCTTGTCTATTGTATGATTATGTAGTGCCTTAAAAGCGTGTGATAGTTGTCGAATGCAGGCGGCCCTTTTTCGTTTATCATGGTTCGTAGCATTTCCGAAAGTGATGTTTGGCGGGTCTCGACGCCATGGCTCGACGCGACTTTTGGCGTACATGTTGGTTACGTGGGCGTTGCCCGGGCCAAGACGAGCGACCAGCATCGCAGAATATCTGAGAAGGTGCTCGCACATGCAAAGAAGAGTAAAGAAGATCAGACGTGAGGTTCTTGTAAGCTCTTGCCGTCGGACGTGCTCCCGTGTTCCCCGCGGCTCAGGCGTCCCTTCTTGACTCAGGGTCCGGCGGCCAAAACTTTGGTTGATGCTGAACGATGTCACGTCATCGCTTCACCCACGCGACACCCTGAAGCGTCCTGACCCCGACGCGGCTCGCATACACGCTCCATCCAGCATCCGACAGCATTGCGCATCCGGCGCTCTGTCGACAGCACACACCGGTCCCCATGGCGTGGTACGATCAGGACAGCTGGCTCACGGCAGCCTTCTCCCCAAACCTGTCGACTATCCTCATCACCTTCCTCGTCGCGCTCTGCCTGCCCATACTACTGCATACCGTCCTCTACAAGAAGGCAGCCGCAGCCGCGCAACTTCCCACCTTCCTGCTAGCCGGCCCAAGCGGCAGTGGAAAGACGGCCTTTACGACATTGGTAGCGTATCCCCCAAACCCATGCTCCCGTACCGTCTAACAATTGCCAGGCCGAGCGCAACGCTACAACCCAAACGCACACGTCCACCACACCTCTCACCGTCTCCGCTCTCCTCCCCAGCCCACACGTCCCCGCGTCATCGCACTACCGCTCACCAGGCGATCCAGCCTTCGAGCGCTCTCGCAATTTCCTCCTCCTCGACACGCCTGGTCATGGCAAGCTCCGTCACTATGCGACCTCCCAGCTTGCCGACCCCAAGAACATCCGCGGTATAATATTCGTCGTCGACGCCGCTCAACTAGGCGACGAAGCAGGACTGAACGAGGCCGGAGAGTACCTTCACGACATCCTCCTCTCGCTACAGAAACGCTACACCAACGCTACCACAAGCAAAGGGCCAAAGGAGATCCCTGTCCTTGTTGCGGCGAACAAGATGGATCTTTTCACGGCGTTGCCCGCAAACCTTGTCAAGAACTCGCTCGAGAAGACAATCACCGAGGTCAGGAGTAACAGGGCGAAGGCGCTTCGCGATGCAGGTGCGGCGTTGAATGGTGGCGAAGATGAGGTAGACGAGGAGAAGGAGTGGCTGGGTGAGGGCGGCGAGGGCATGTTCACATTTGAGCAAATGAGAGAGAGCGGGACGAGTGTGACTGTGATTGGGGGTAATGTTCAGGCGGGTAAGGAGGGCGCTGATGTGGAGCAATGGTGGCAGTGGGTTGCTGAGCAGCTTTGAAGAAGCTACAGGTGGCCACAGAGGGTAGGATGGATCGAGGCTCGAGTGTGTACCGATACATCGATACCCCCTTCGTTGAATAATGGAACTAGTAGGTCCATTCTACCTTGATCTAGGTCATGACTAACGCGTGTAGATTATCAAGTTTGCTGTTGCACTTTTGAAATCGTGAGGCTTTTGCGGCCTGACTGCCTCTTCCTTCGAGACCGAGGTGATCTTACGTCTGTTACAGCCGCCAAGCGCATCGAAGTACGAGGATGATACCCTTAACACCTGACAATGCACGTTTTAGAACAGTTGCTCTTCTACGTCTCGTGCAGAGCAAACACCACCCAGTATTTGTTGTTTCACTTGTTATTCGATGTGTCCGTATGTCGTTACGCGATTGTTCCGAGGCAAGCTCACGAGTAAACCGAGTAACTGGTATCATGACCAGTCGCCATGACCTCCCAAGGTTGAGCAAGCAGCGCGTGAGCTTGCTCATCGTGGCCAAATGACTGGAGGCAAGCGCGGAAATCGAAAACAGGATGTTGTATAAGAAGGTGAGTGGTTTAACCCCATAGTACTCACCATCGCACCGGCGTCTCATCCTTTCATCGATACTTCACCAATCCGGACTCAAGACAGCAATACGAACAATGGCGAACAAGTCAAAGGCCGCGAAGAGAGCACGAAAGGTCGAGTCGGAAGCCGAAGCATGGAAGGCATCCTCCAAGACCGTACTTGGTCGCCTGACCTATCGTCTCGAAGATCTTCCCGACATTCTGATCCTTCGTGTAGCATTCAAGTCCATGAACGCTTCCGGTGAATACGACGATACTGTGTACAACCGCAAGTTCCGGGAGCCCGCGTGGGCTGAACTTCGCGAGACATATTGGCCCCATTTCAAAGACATCACTGCTGTCGACAAAAACCCAGATAGAAAGTCTCACGAATGGCATCTCATCATGCCAAATAATTCAAATAAGGATGAGTTCGCGATGTCCACCTTACTGGGTCAATTCGCTCTCAAAACCAAACTTCCCGGACACGTCAAAACCGGCCTACCTGAGCGAAAAATGGCATGCAGGATTACGAGTACGGATGTATTAACAAGTACAGATCCAAAACATCGTAGACTCTATCAGAGGAGTCTCAACATTCTAATCCAACGGCGCTATGCCTCAGTGGACGGATTCCCCGATAATCTTTGGGCTACCAAGGAACAGTTCCGAAAGATTCCCGAGGGCATCAATCTCTTTCAAGGGGAGAAATCAATCCAGCTGAAGGAGGAAAAGTCAAACATGCCGAAAGGAGATGTGTCAATCACGCCGTTAGTGAAAGGCTACAAGGCTCATACAATCAACGGTACCCAGACGCCTTCTCCCTACTCACTTCGCGTACGCGCCGCCTTATCGACTGATCTCAAAGACAAAATGATACATTTGGTGTTCGATTTGACGTCTACCACGCCGGAAGCCTACAACAGTGTCTATGAAATGTTGTTGGATGTTTTCGGGGATGGCATGAACAAAGAAAACATCAGCCGCCTGCAACCCGCTATCAGCGACTTGCTGGTTGGAGTCAAAGTTCAGCGCAACTACCCCTCTACCAGATCAGAGACTACAGCAGACGTCATCAAAACATGGGATGAGCCGTTCTTGATTCGCGAGGTCGTATCCAACCAGGATACCGAAGTCAGGGCCAAGACAAAGAGCAAGAGGAATGATGAAGATGAGAAAGAGGTTCAGACTAGTTACGAATACTTCAAGGAGAGTGAGTTGCGCTTGGTGGTATTGACGACGGTGCACAGTAACTGACGCAAACACAGACTACAACGACGGCAACGCTATGGAGCACCAGTATCTTCCACTCGTAGGTGACGGTCGCGGCGCTTATTTCCCCTTGACCCACGTCAAATTTCCCAAGAAGACCCAGGTTTTTCCAAAGACTGCTAGCGTTCTAGCCCAACCGCTTCGGGCAAAGATTCATGAGCTCGGTCTCCTCAAGTCCGAAGGCTCAGAGCTCGTGAAACTAACCGGCGATAACGTATGGACACTGTTGACTGAGCGGCGAAGATATGCTGAGGCAAGTACATTTTCCCCGCTCCGAGACCTTTGCTTACACGTCGACAGGGCGGAATCGATACCGAACCGTTCGAACTGCTCAAGCAAGTCGGGGCGCCTTCGATCGAAATGATTGACCCCTTGGACCTTGCACTCTAATTCACCCACTCCGATCAGACGACAGATGCTTCCAATCTTGATGCGAAACGAAAATGCTTTTACCGCATTCCAGTTCTACAGTGGCATGCATTTCATCCGTCGCTTTCCAGCACTTTCCTTCTCTTCGCTTCTGCAAGCTGTGCCGCCAAATCTGGCTGTCGCATCTTGGTATTAGCTCTTCTTTGGATTTCCCTTATCCCCTTTCCCAACCACCTTTGCTTACTTAGTTTCCGCCCGTACCCGCGTCTGCCTCTGAGTCGATGTTTTCACTTTGTGACATATGGAAAGCTCACTGCGCATGCGCTTGTGCTGCGTCCAATCCTTGTCTCCTGTATTTGGTCTTGCGTTCCGCGCTGCTTTTCTAGATAGTCCAACTCAATACACTCATTTGCAAAACACCGCTTCTATGTCGCCCTTGAGAATTGTCACCAAGTCTGGTTGAGGGATGAGAGGCTTCTGCAGGGAAAACAAGTTGGTGCATTCTATGTCTGCGAGGTCGAACTCAGTTTCATGGTTGCACCAGGAACGAAGAGATCGCAGTCTGGAGGCATATGGATGGTAAGTTTACCCATTTCTTGTTCAGAAACAGTGTTGTCATATCACATACCTCAGTCCTAAGCACCGTCACGTCTCAATCAGGCGGCCTTGTCCATGTGATCTGCTGCTTGTCTGCATGCCGTTTTGATCCCATCGCCCAGAATGGTATCATTTGAGGCAAAGTACCGTAGTCTATTCTGCCAGAACCGCCATCTTTCCACCGTAATCTTCTCTTCGCCACCCTGGGCCTTCCACAAAGGACCGACTGGCGCTACAAAGTCCATCAGACGGTCGTAAAGATCGTGACCTAGGATTGAAAGCCATTGTGTAGCCGCTGGAAGGTCTATGCTAGGCTGCGATGACCTGAAAGCCGCCCAGTTTTGATCAGGTATGGTAGCAGAGCCATCGGAGTGCTGCTTCACTTCATTGAGGCTGAGTTCGTGTTCTAGGGCACCAACGATTGGATAGCATGCCATGCCACGAAAGTCCACATCATCTTGTGGAAGCGCACCTCGAATGTGGTACCAGCTAAGAAGCGCGGCGAACGTGTTGATGTTCTTGTAAAGATCTCTGACAGCTAGGACGACATCACCACTGACAATGCGTTCCGTCATTGATTCAGCCGTCCTCAACGTCGCGTCTTTGCGAGCTTCGGGGGTCATGAACTGCAAGCTATAGCACTTTGGACCTGGACCGAAAACTGTCAGCTTCAGAGACTTTTCAGCACGGCGGTTGTTCATGTCCATACCTTGCAAATAACCCCCGAGCTCATGACCGAAGCCAGGTAAGTCCACAAAGCTACTGGTGCCCTGAACCGGCTCATCTGTATCGTACGGATACTCTGGTAAAGGGTATGACAACCTCGCGAGCTCTACCACCAAGTCGGCTAATATCCTCAATTCTGCTTCCGGCCATATCTCGCCACGATGGCAAATGGCGCCCCAGAGTATGCTCGCATCACAGGATATAGACGACGAGCAATGCGCCGAAGTCAGTGAACCAAGGATATTTGCAGCTGTTTCGGGATTGATTCGATGAGTGAGAAGATCTTGAAAGGCACATAGTATGCGTGCTTCTGTGGATGATGGGTCCACGTCGCGGATGGCCTCCTCATCCGCGCGGGATAGATTTGGAAATGAAGGGTCAACGGAAGCTCGATTCAGACCTGATCGAGTGGAGCTGAGAATGGCAGAGAGCTGTTCGTGGTTCCATCTTGCAGCCATGGATCGAATTAAGTCAATGTCAGAATATCACCAAACTGAACAGGCATAGAAGTGTTGAGTACTTAAAATTCAGATGCCACCATGTTGGCTGTTAGTAGGCTACCGAGATGCTGATTCATAGATGTTATGCATACCCACCACGTGCCTAGGCAGCTGACAGTGGCGGCGGCAGCGTGAAAGTGGCGATTGAGCGTATCCGGCTAGCGTTGTGAGGATCTACTAGCGGTGGCTTGAGCGCGGCGGCGGCTATTTGCGGGTCAGGCCATCGAGTTTGTTCTGCGCGACAACTTTGCAGCCGTATTACGACATCTTCTTTGCCTTTGACGTTGCGGGTACTCTCTTTACTTATACTTCCAGAAACTCTCACTATACATACTTCAGCATCACATACACGCCTCAGCACACGAATACCGCCACCATGTCTACCAAGACGCGCCCCGCCATCCCACCTGTGGTTATGGACAGCATAACGCAGCAGATAGGCAACACGCCCCTCGTACGCCTGAACAAGATTCCGCAATCCCTGGGCATCCGTGCCACCGTATACGTAAAGGTCGAAGCCTTCAACGCCGGCGGCAGTGTCAAGGACCGCATCGCGCTTCGCATGATCGAAGCCGCTGAGAAGTCTGGTCGCATAAAGCCCGGTGACACACTCATCGAGCCTACGTCTGGTAACACGGGTATTGGGCTGGCTTTGGTGGGTGCGGTGAAGGGATACAGAACCATCATCACACTTCCCGAGAAGATGAGTCCCGAGAAGGTGGCGGTTCTTAAGGCGCTCGGAGCCGAGATCATTCGTACCCCAACGAGTGCGGCATGGGATAGCCCCGAGAGCCACATCGGCGTTGCGAGGAGATTAGTCAAGGAGATTCCGAACGCGCACATTCTCGACCAGTACTCGAACCCCGACAACCCGCTCGCGCACGAGTGCGGCACGGCCGAGGAGGTGTGGACACAGACCGACGGCAAGATCACCTGTCTTGTTGCTGGTGCAGGAACTGGAGGCACTATCACAGGTCTAGCGCGCGGTCTGAGGAAGCATAAGCAAGATGTCAAGATTGTAGCTGCCGATCCACACGGCAGTATACTCGCACTTCCTGCGACCCTGAACGACGAACGCGTGAACGAGGGCTACAAGGTTGAGGGGATCGGATACGACTTCATCCCTGACGTCCTGGAGCAGAAGATTGTGGACAAGTGGTACAAGACAGACGACCGGACATCGTTCTTGTACGCGCGCCGGTTGATCTCCGAAGAGGGCATTCTTTGCGGTGGTTCGTCTGGTAGTGCGATGGCTGCCATGGTCGAAGCCGCGAAAGACATGGATCTCACCGAAGATGATGTTGTCGTCGTCATCCTCCCCGACAGCATTAGAAGCTATCTCAGCAAGGTATGTCATCTCTTTTCCTATGCTACTGTTGTGTCATACTAACGTATCATAGTTCGTCGACGACGACTGGCTTGCCGCAAACGACCTTCTCCCCCCTACGCCCCCTCTGACACCTAACACGAACGGCGCAAACACTCGCCGTCTCTCTACCACCAAGCAGGCCGACGCTTTCCACGGCGCCACCATCGCTTCCCTACGACTCAAACCCGTTACCACCGTTCCCTCGAACTCGCCCTGCAGCGAAGCCATCGAAACAATGCGTGAGAAAGGTTTCGACCAACTTCCCGTTAGCACATACTCTTCCGGCGGCAAGGTGCGTCTTGTCGGTCTAGTGACCCTCGGCAACTTGCTATCCTACATCGCTGCCGGTCGTGCAACCCCAAAGTCACCCGTCGAAGAGGTCATGTTCGATTTTCGCAAACTGAACGAGGTCGTCAAGGACCTCGGCCGTCTTTCGCTTGACGGCGACAACGCGAAGAACACACAGAAGGGCGGCAAGAAGGGACGAAGGGAGTTTGTTGAGATCACCAAGGAGACCAGCTTGAGCGATCTGAACAAGTTCTTCGAGTGGAACAGCGCAGCTGTTGTCACCGAGCGCGTCGATGGCGAGCCAAAGGCCGTTGCTGTTGTCACAAAGGTGGACTTGCTATCATGGATGGTAAGACAGGGAAACACTAATGGATACTCCAACTAGATGGAGTAGAGACGATGGAAACAAGATGTATATGAGGAAACGGTTAAACACGAGGCACGCATATCAAACCTTTAGCGAAAGAAAAGTTGGCGATATTCATATTGGACCGGTAGCAACGGAGTTATAGGCATGGTACAACTCAACTTAGATGGCATTCGTCTGGTACGTCAGGATAGAAGTGCGAGACCTCAACGTCTATAAACAACAGCTATGAAAGGCTGCAAAGTCAAACTCTTCTCGTTCAGCATGAAGCCTACGCTATCCCCATCATAATCTCCCTCAGCTTGCCCGCCGCCGCACCATCCAAAAACTCCATACTCTTCTTGATGCCCACTTTCCCGCTACCCATTTCCTCCATCTCCATCATCCACAGCAAATCATTCTCCACTATCTGCCCCTCCGTCGCCCCTTTCGCCTGCATCATGAAGCTGATCCGCAGGACGACCTTCATCTTGACTGGATCGACAATGACGTCTGTCACATTGGATTTCCAAGACTCAAGTCTGGGAAGCATGGATCGTAGATGGGTGAAAAAGTCGTCGAGGGAATGCGTGCCTTGGATGGGCGGGGAGAGAGAGACGGAGTAATTATGGCCCCACGAGTGTTCGAAAGAAGGGGCGCAGTAGGTACGCATGAGATCGAAGTCCATGCGTTCCGGGAAATCCGCGTCGAGTGTTTGGGCTCTGATGAAATTGAGCGCTGTGTCTCGGAGGATTGTATAGGTGGGCAAGGCAGATGTCGCCGGATCTTCTGCGGTGTGGTTGCTCATGGTGATGTTGCTAGTTTGTTTTCAAGAGATGAAGATGTGCAATTAGAACTCTTGAAATGGAAGAAAGATACGACTGTGGTTTGCTTCATTAAATGCGGAGAATTACCAGTGTTACCTAGTACATGCGGATCCCCACGGTACGCCACGGAATAGGGTTCAATTGTCCCGAAAAACGGGGACGGCGCAAACTGGAAGTTTATACTACTGTTTGAGGTTGGCGCATATGCTGAGGACATGGGGCACGCTTGTTTTGTCTTCAAGAAAGTTGGTCGTGAAGAGAGCAAGGTACTATTGCGGGTGCTCCCGTTGCTCCACTATGTCCGTCCAATCAGCTGAACGACGACCGTGACGTCGAAGTAACGGTTGGAGACAACGAATGTTCACGAC